ATACAGAGGCCAAAAGGCCAATCAGAAAGTGAAACAAGACAACCGGTATAGATTAGCAAGAACAAGGCTGGTATAGCAGCAAGGGCGAGGCTACTAAGACAAGACCAAGCTGAGTACAGAACCGCTGATGGTCACGAGGCCCTAGGGCCTTCGTAAAGATATCAGCACTGTTGGCCTCTGAGGCCAACGGTACTACACGAGCCTGACCGCGCTGCTGCAACTCACGCAGCAGGAAGTACCGCAGCTCGATGTGCTTCGCCCTGCCCTCAAGTCTAGCCTCCGGATACAGGAGGATCATGACCCTGTTATCAGCAAACAGGACCGGGGCAGATCTAGGCCGCTCGCCTAAGCAAGTGAGTAGGAACGTCTGCCAGCGGAGCTCTTGAGCGGCCATAGCCCCATTATAGATCTCCGTCTCACAACGGTTTTGAGCTATAGACGAAAAACTAGTGGACCACCACAAGACTGTACCCGCACCTAGACTAAAGCAGTAGCTCTGTGAGGACTTGAGTGACTCCAAGTCCTCAGCCCACGATGCGTCTGTGTCTCCAGTAAGGACCATTAGCTCCCGACCTCCTAGCACAAGCCCCAGTCCTAATGTACTCGCCAGATACCGCAACACCCTCTTGGCAGCCGACTAGTGCTCTGGTCGGTGTCTGCCAGTCGCAACAAAGCGAGCAAGGATACTGAAAGGGTGCACTAGATCTGGTCAAGTGTATGTCATCAGGTACATGAGGCACCCCACCAGCTATGCGTTTGGACCACTAGATTCGACTTGCTCAACGGAAGTAGGAGAAGAGAGCTTGTGGTCCACAGGCAAAGGGGTGGGTTTAGGATCTGCTAGAGGATTTGCTAGAGGATTTGCTGACGAGAGTTGAAAGCCAAACTGCTAGAGGATGTGCTGCACCAAATGGGACTGGGAGAGTGTGATCGTGCGCGCTGCATGGCCATGAGAGTTCTCCAAGCCCAGATAGTGTTGCAACTATCCTAGGTTTGTATAGGCATTATGCATGAGCAGCTCGGCCTTCACTGAGGCCAGTGCGACTCTATATGGAGTAGCAAAGATAAGGTCATCTAGGTGCACAAGTATGTAGAACAGAGTCTGACCAGCACGAACAAAGAGCGAGGGTTCAGCATCATATGGGAAGAAGTGGAGCGCTGCGAGAGTAGTGCAGGGCGTGTCGTGTCACGCACAAGGCGTCTGGTGCAGACCGTAGATAGGACGGCACCGGCTCCACTAGGTCCCTGGAACGACGGACTCGATGAAGCCAGGTGGGCGCCGCAGGAAGATCTTCTCATGTAGGCTGCCCAGCAAGAAGATTGTAAAGAAGTCTGTCAAGAAGTCCATAGAGTGAAGCTCGTAGTCACGTTGTGCGGCTATATGGAGGAGCACCCGAAGAGTAGTCATCTTTGGGGTGGGGGAGAAGGTCTAGAAGAAGTCCACACCCTCTCGCTGACTGAAGCCTCTAGCCATATACCACATCTTGAACTGAGGCGGCTCTCTAGATGGGCGCTTCACCTTATAGATCCATATGCCATCAACTATGCTTGCGCGGGGTGGAGGAACTGCATCGACATAAGTGCCAGTGGATCCATAAGATGACATCTGTGCCTCCATGGTCTGTATCCTTTGGGCTGCCTTGGCAACCGAGACCGCCTGAGCGCAGGAGGACGGGATAGGGATGTCTAGGGCATCCAAGTCACCCTTAGGGGACACAAGGATGGTGCTGAGATGAGGTATATAAGCCGCAAGAATACCTAGCTCGTACTGCCTATCCTCTAGAATGTCAGTTCCAAGGGCACGTGCACTTCCGATGGACAGCTGACATGCACGGTTAGAGACCAGAGCAGAAGCGTAGTTGAGGCGGTGGCTCGCGGCATAGTTAGCGACAACTGTGACCAGGGCAGAGACACCCTTAGGAGGAGCAGTAGGGTCAGTGACAAGCGACACAAGCAAGCAAGAGATGACTGGACAAGCAGCGCGAGCAGAGTCAGAGGGAAGAGCAAGGGACAGCAGGAGCGATGACTGGAGAGGTAATGGTAGGACGCGGACTGGAGGAGCACAAGAGCGAAAGACCATAGGGTGGACACTAGCATGACGAAAGACAGGACGACCACGAGGGGGATGACCCACCTAGTGGGGTAGAATGGGGGACGAGGGACGGGCGGGGAAGGGGGACAGGAAAGGAGACGGAGGAGAGCAAGGGGAGAAACGAGACAGAGAGGAACCCGGGGGTGCGAATAGAGATTTTCTGCTATAACGAGAGCTTATGCGGAAATGCCTAACACATATAGAGCTACTCTAGCTCTATAGTTCTCTAAGGAGAGAGTTGCCTTCAGAATTGTGTGTTTCACTGAGTAGTTTGAGAAATCTTGGGCACACAAATTCATTAGAATAAAGTATACAAATTATGGTACCATATTCCCCCTGATATATGCACCGCCGGCTAAAACGCACCGGTGCTGTATCGAATGTGCCAACGATACGCACCCCCCCTCCTTTCCAGATTCTAATCCCTATAAGCACCCCCCCCCTTTTTTTTTGTGGGAATCTGGCCCTGACTATGTTTACCACATTTGGTGTCAGATTCATCTGACGAATCATTCCATCACACGAAATCGACCCCTGATCTTGCGATTCACGGGTAATCTAGTCAGCAATGCTTTTTTACCATGTCAGACAAGAGAACTAATGGCCAGGATCGCACCTGCTAGCCAGCGCGCTGGCAAACTGCAACGATCCTTCTGCCTGGCTGACGCGCCAATCGACTGGGAATCAATTTTTGCGAGACTACTGGGGCTGTTCTTGTTTGCGAGCATTCCATTCGTTTGCAAATTGTCCAAGCAACATCTTCATGCTTGTTTCAATATTTTCATAAAAATATTTTTAACGCACCGTGCCAAAAAAAAAAAAAAAAAAAAAAAACGCACCCCCCAAATTTGGACTTAACTCCCTAAACGCACCTTGGCGCGTATATCCGGGGGAATACGGTACACAAGGCAAACACTAGTACTACCATATAAAACCTTATTGAATACAGAGAGAACATTCATACAAGAACATCTACATAACTATTCTAAGCTACACTTAGCCAAGTCAGCAATGGCATGTGAAAATTACAGCACATGCTTAGTTGGTAATTTTTACCAATTTAGAACTATATGTCGTTTCATGTGTGAAAATGTCAGATGTTACGCACATTTCAGCAGTTACGAAATGTGCGTCACGTGTTCAATTTCTTAATGTCTCAGGTAGATTTGCCGGTTTTAAGTCTAGATAGGTTCATTTCGGCAGTTTACGAAATCGCAAATTTCACGCGATTTCGGAACGCCACCCTCAGCAGAAAACGAAGTCCCCAGTTTCGGCCAAAGCAGTCGTTCGCAGAAGCGAGTTCCGAGATGACTCTCTGCCATCCTTATGCCAAATTCCAACGATGCCGAGGGAGTCGCCTGCAGAAGAGAATGCCAAAATGCCTTTCTGTCGAATTGCGGCAAAAAGCAACCCTGCGCGAATGGGTCCTTGCGTCAGTCTGCCCAAGGTCCTGCTAGAGCGCATTTCCGAGATTCGGCTAATGCCAAAACGATCACCTACAGAAGCGTGTTCTGCGCGTTGCTTCGGCAGACAACAACCCCCCTGTGAATGACCCCTGGTGCCAATTCGCAGAGGGACTTGATCACTCTCGCTCGACTCTGCCGAGGCCATCCCTACAAAAACCACCTGACGTTGTAGAAGCCATATGAAAAAAAACGCCCTTGTTCTGCCACTTCGACAGAACCGCTTTTCCGCCACTTCGATAGAATCACTCTTTTGCAATGAGTATTTCCCGCAGAGCCTCGCGTTGTTGACAAATCTAGCCTTCGTCGACAAGCCTGCAGGGCTTTTGTCTGCAAACTTTGTTGATATGCCGCTTCGGCATACTTCTGTAGCCTTCGCAGGACCAGGCCTATTCTCAACACTCCCCTGCACTGGTCATGCGAAATCACTCACTAGCAAAGAGCTGATCTAGAGGAGACACTAAGCAGAAAAGAAAGCACACAATAAACACACACAAGTAAATTGTGAGAGTCTGCACTTCTTCGCACGCTTAAATCACCGCACCGGCCATAAAAGAGGTCATGGCATCTACATAGACATAGAGTGTCGTGGGCTCATCCTCGTCGAGGAGAGCGAACTGTGCCAACAAGAAGTGCAGCTTGCGAGGTTCTTTGCCAGCCTCCACGGCAGAGATGTACTCAGATTCCGTAGACGAGAGGGTGACACACTTGATCCTCTTACTTGCCCACGAAATTGCAGCTCCACCACTTGTGCTGCTGCAATTCTGATTGTCGCCAGCATCATCAGCATCTGTGAATCCGATGAGGCGCAGATCTGTGGCTTCTCTGCGGAGCTCGAGAGCCACATCGCGAGTCCCAACGAGATACACAACGCAACGATCGAGCTCCTTCCTGTGCTGATCACTCCAAACAGTCTGCCCAAATGCAAGCTTGTTGCAGCCGAAGGTGACGTGTCGTGCAGGCGGCAAATTGCACAGATCCCACTCGCTTGCAATACTTTTCCTCAGTACGCCCCTGCATATCTGCGTAATCGAACGTCAGCTCCTTGAATGCATCGATAGAAATAGGCATTTTCGGGCTTCGTCGAGGAGGCCCCTCTGGTAGAAAACGCTAGTGTAGCTTGTTGATGTATCCTCTCTGGTGCAGCTCTATCCCTGATCAGCTCCAATCCCAAGTACTTCTGCACAGGACTGATTTCTCAAAGCTTGAATGAATTTTCGAGCAGAGTTTTCAACTTTGCCAAATGCACCTTGCTCCGACTTCAGCCAGCAGATCGTCGACGTAGCCGAGCAGGTAGCACTTGTCATCGTGCTCACCTTCGTGGAATTAGAAGGCTTCGTTGACCTGACTCTTCGACCAGCCTCTGCTCTGCAGAAATCCGTCGAGTCCTTTGTACCACAACTTTGGACTATGCTTGAGTCCGTAGAGACTCTTCTTGAGCAGACAAACTCTGCCACTGCTGTCATCATAGTACTTCGGCTGCTTCATGTAGAGAGGATGATCGATGGGTGCATTCAGAAACGCATTCATCATGTAGAGATGCATCAACCCCCAATCAGCTGCAGAAGAGCAGTCACGTAGTTGCCGACTGGAGCATATGTCAAGTCGTAGTCGAGATTGGGCAGATGTGTAAACCCTTGTATGAGGAGACATCCTTTCTCTCTCTCTCTCTCTCTCTCTCTCTCTCTCTCTCTCTCTCTCTCTCTCTCTCTCTCTCTCTCTCTCTCTCTCTCTCTCTCTCTCTCTCTCTCTCTCTCTCTCTCTCTCTACCGTATCGTCAGCGATATACTTGGTGGCGAGAACCCATCGATTTCCCATCACATTGACGCCAGGCAGTGGAAAACCCAAGTCCCAAGTTTCTTGGTGTGAGAGTGCGACCCCGTTACACTAATTTCCCCTTTCCATATTTCCTATCTATTTCATTCCTCTTTCACTCCTGATTCATTTGGTATTTATCTCATCTCATTTGGTTTCCTATTTCTCTTTTTCCATTATCCTTTGGTTTATCCTGGTATTATGATTATATCACCGACCAGGCTCGGGATGTACTGGCGTGCCATACCTAGCGTCATCCTGCCGTAATCCCTTAAAGCCAATAGCCTTGCGTGGTAATACGCAGGGTGATTCTATTTCTAGAAGGGTCTATTCTCTTTGGATAGGATAAACCTGGTTACCTGATGTACTCTGGAAGTATAAAAGCACCTTGTACTGATTGATAGTGAACATTGAGCTAAACCTCATTCGATCCTGTAACACTTGGTCCCACAGAGTTTGCATCTCCTTGTCCATCAGTGCCTTCCAATCTTTGAAATGTCCCAACGATGTTCCGCATTTGCCACACAATATTCTGCAGAGTCCAGCTCCGTCAGTGTTACGTCTTCGTCTCTGCCATCGAGGGCGTTCATCGAGAATGCTGTCAATGCTGCACGATAACGAACTGGTGGAACACCTTTGTTAGAGCGCGTCGATCGCCGCAAGGGTTGCCCCTCCACATGCAATTCTTTCGCAGATTGCTCCTTAGCAGAGGAAGACTGCTCCTCTGCGGTCATATCTTCTGCGACACTCTACTGCCGCTCTTCCGTGCGTCGTTCACTTGGGATGATGCCGAGAGGCACCTCACTCCCCTCCTCATCTGAGGATGACGCAGAGGAAGAGGGGGAGCTTGGCCGTGCAGAGGGTGCATTCGGCCCTTCGACCATCGGGGAATTGGCAGAAGCATTCGCATCAGAAATGGCAGAGGCAGGAGTACCGTCTGCAGTGGAAGGCACTGTCGGGGACAGAGTTGGTCCAGGAGTCGAAATCGACACAGATGGCAGAGTTCAAATAGCCTCTGCCTCAGCATCCTCCTCCTCTTCGGCGACTAGATCCGGCTATGACATCGCCTAGCCAAAGACAGAAGGGTCCACGACTTCAACTGGAGTGTGTTTCATTGACTTCCACCCATCGACCGATAACGTCTCGTAGAAAATTGCTTCTACCGTGGTGACCAATCGATTGGTCACCAGATCGAGCACCAGCCATCCCTTGCTCTGCTGCGACCCCCCCAGGTGGAGGGCCCAACGAGCCTTAGGTGCCAGCTTCCCTCCACGCTTGTTCTGCAGAATAAGAAACTGCTGAATACACCCCTAGACTCGAGCCATTCTCAAATCAGGCTTTTCGTTGAAGAGCATCTCGTACGACGTAATGCCCGATGGCAGAGAAGAATGCTCGAGGCGATTCCGCACCCAGGCCACTTACAGAGCAGCAAGATGCCACTAATAGTGAGGAGCACCCATGTGCAAAATCATAGTTTGAATGCCCTCTACGACAACCCGCATTTCGCGTTCCTGCCATCCCATTCTGCTTCGGTGTAGGGACAAGTAAGATCGCGCTCAAGTCGTCGCTCTTCAAGAAATTCGACGAATTTTCTGCCCAAAATTGCTCCACGATCAAAGCGTAGAGCCTTAAGCATTACCTCACATTGCCGTACTGCCCTCATAAGCCACTTCCGAAAAAACGAGCAATGCGTCGCTCTTCTGCGCGATAGGGTAGACCCAAACGTAGCGTGTCTTGCGGTCTTTGAGCTAAAGACAGTAGCGGCTGCCATCCTTAGCGGGAACTTGGAAGGGCCCGCAGAGATCGACATGCACTACTCCCAGCACTTTCTTGTCGTCAATCCCCACTGCCGGAAAGCTATGACGAGCGAGTTTGCCACCGACGCAAGAGACACACGGCAAATCAGTGCTCGGCGTCTTCTCAATTTCCAAGCCCGTGACTGCTCCGTACGCCGCAGTCCGCCAAATCGTCTCCATCCCAGCATGGGCCAGACGAGCATGCCACACATCGATAGACGAGCGTGCAAAAGTCACCAATGTGTGCAAAGCAAGCGTCTCTGCAGCAGGCTTCTGCCACGGCCGTGGCTGCAAATCAGTGCTGAGAACCCGACCTTTGTATCGAGCTCGCTGGAGCACTATGCCGTCGGCCGAGAGCATGATAGTTTCCTTGCACGTGTCCTTAAGCGTCACTCTACAGTCCTTCAGCTGTCCCGTAGAAAGCAGATTGGCTTGGATTTCAGGGACGTAGAGGACATCAGGAACCAAAATCTTCTTCCTAGCCTCGCCGAGCAGAGCGATTGTTTCTCGTCCTCGAGCAGCTTGGGTGACGCCGTTACTGTAAATCCATGCACTTGCTGGATTTCACCGTCCTTGCGCATTTTGACGAAGGCCTTGTCATCTCCCATGAGGTGTTGCAAACAACCACTATCCAACAGAATAACCACATGGTTAGCTTCTACAACAGCCGCAATCGCCTGGAAGTCTTCGCCATCCTTTGGATCCAACGAGATGGGCAGATTGTGCGCGTCTTCTGCTGTTCTACGATCGGCTCAACCTTCAAACTCGAGGGTCCTTTTCGATCTGCAGAACCAGAGCTCGCAGAGTAGCTACCACTCTGTGCGTCAGAGTTCGGATGACTTCCCTCTTCTACGACTGAACATCGTTCCTCTTGCCCTTGCGATACGACATTGAGCAGCAAAATGACCGATTTCACCGCAAAGGAAACAGGGTTTATCCTTGTTCTTCTTTGCTTACTTCTTGTCGTTGTGGCCGTCCTTTTGCGGCCGTCCTTTTGCCCAGTTGGATTGTGGCAAAGGAGACCCCTTGCACTGCTCTATCGCAAGAGTAGAATCTTCCTCTACGATGTAGCTCGTCAGAGTGTTCTCGTTGAGGGTTTTCCGCATGTATGGAAACTTGATCATGCGCCGTAGATAGCTGTACTGCAGCGGCAGTCCCTTCACAACATGCGTAACGTAGGAAACCATTGAGTACCGCACTCCAGTCATCCGTAGATTTGCAAGCAGCTGCTGCACACGAGTGCAGTAAGCGGTAGCAGTCTTGTACTCTGCCATCTCCATAATTACCATACTCCTCTCCAACTGACCGATGTAGAGGTTGTCTGTGGCCATGTAGGACTGATGAATTGCCAGGCCTGAAAACATGCATCCACTCGCAGACGACTGGCCTTCAATGCCACCTTCACAGCGGGCGAGCAGAAGGGCGACATCACTATGAATGCAGTAGCTGGGTAGAGCGGAACCGCGTGTACCGCGATGCACCTGACATAGGAGGGGCTTTTGTTGACCCATCAAGGAACCTTGGCACTACGATCTTGTCAGGAGAAAACTTGAAGTGGCTGAGTTCAGGAGCAATCCCTCAATCCTTCGAGGTTGACGGGAGGAAGACAGTAAAGCCGTCGGCGACGTTGTCTGCACCGTCACGATTGGCTGAACGACCTTCTTCTGCATCGCTCTTCTTCTTTGAGCTTGACTCCTTTGCAAGATCCTTTCTGTCGCCCACGCTTGATCCTTCTCCGTTTGGCATTTCTCCTTCTCATAGAACACTGCGCGACTGTCGCACTCCGACTTCCGCAAAATCGTCCATGTTCTCCTTGTCTCGGGAAACTTCCTTTGCACGCGCCTGCGGATGATCCATCTCCCACTGAGCTCGTAACCCCATCAGCATGAATTTGAGCTCCTTCTCTAGGAGTGTGAGAGTACGACCCCGTTACACCACTTGGCCTTTTCTTATTTCCTTCCTTTTTCATTTCTCTTTTATCTCATCTCATTTGGTTTCCTATTCTTCCTTTTCCATTAACCTTTGGTTTATCCTGCTATTATAATTATATCACCGACCAGGCTTGGGAAGTACTGGTGCGCACTATCTAGCGTAATCCTGCTGTAATCCCTTAAAGCCAATAGCCTCGCGTGGCTATACGCAGGGTGATTCTATCTTCTAGAAGGGTCTATTCCCTTAGGATAAGATAAACCTGGTTACCTGATGTACTCTGGAAGTATAAAAGCGCCTTGTACTGATCGATAGTGCAACCTTTCCTCGACACATTCGATCCTGTGACACTTGGTAATCAGAGCTTTTCTCACTCAACCGCGCTCAGCTAAGCAGCAGCAGCGGGGATCCTGCCTTGAAAAACCGCCGGGGGCGACCAATTCGACGCCGATTCTGGTAAGCACCAGCTCCGCGATTTTCGAATTACCCCCTCCGTGCGTGTTTTGAACAGGATGGCAACCTTCGACAACGCCGAGGTTACCCAGCAGCTCTTCGCGCGCATCGCAGCCCTGCAGGAGGAAATGCGAGCGGATCGCGAAGCGTGGTGAAACCAGTTCGAGCGAGTAACTCGACTCGCCGGAGCGCAGCACGAGACGACAACGGCGACGACGCAGCAGTCGCAGCAGTTTCTCGAGGCTCCAAAACCGCGCCCACCTGAGCTGTTCGATCCGAGCGATCGAAACTCCGACGCCCGCAGATGGATCGCCGGGATGGAGATCTACTTCGCAGCCGTCGGATGGAGCTCGCCAGTCTGGGACGGTCAACGTGTACGACTCGCGGCGACACTGATGCGAGGGCCGGCACTCGAGTGGATTGGAGGCAACAGTACCTTCATCCACGGTGAAGCCACGTGGCAGCAGTTCCGCGACGACCTGCTGAAACGCTTCGAACCAATAAATTCGAGTTTCCTTGCCCGGGAAAAAATTCATCGACACCGACAGTTCGGGAGTGTAGCGCAGTACACGCAGCAGATGGAGGAATTTTATAACCGCATTCCCGACCTGACCGAAGGGGAAAAAGTACAATCGTACCTCGCCGGGCTGAAGACCGAAGTCAAACGACAAGTCGCAGCGTCAAACTACGCGAGCTACAGTGACGTCGTTTCGGCAGCGGAGTGCTTCGACATGGTCAACGCCGGAACACGACGGACGCACGTCGGCAGTACGCGACAGGGCGACCGCTCGGCTCACCCCACGTTCGCCGACCCGATGGAAGTCGATAGAT